GCAGCCCTGGCCAATCAGCATCTCCTCATAGAGTTGCATTGAATCAATGAATCTCTATGAGGAAAGTTCAGTGTCTCCATGCAGAGGTTGGAGACACTGAATGTCAGTCACACTGTACAGCGCTGCCCCAGGAAGCACTTCTAGCATCCATCTTCCTGGACACGGAGCGAGAACCTAGACCTGCTTGAATGCTACTACAACAGCAGACCCAATGAGAGAGGCTACATGAAACGTATTTGGGAGCTATGGATGAATAAGAGACCATCATCTACCCTAAGACCAAAACAGCTGGCTACACGACGTTTGAACATCTTCAAGAGAAATCAAGTGCCACAACTGGAAATAAATGGACTACAGAAGAAATCAGCCATACACCATGAGGAGGAAGAAGAAATCCCCACACCCACATTCTTACCTGCAGATAATTGTCAACCTGAATTGATACCCCAAGATGGCATAACAACAGATATAAGGGAAATTATTGTAGAAAAACTAGCAGTCGTTGACCAGTGGAAAATACTACCAAAGATCACTGGAAAGACAGCATACTAGCTGCAGTTAATGAAGCATTGTCCACAATCCCCTCCTGCACCATCACAGAGATGAACAGGCTCATATATGCCACAGCATAAGTGGTCCTCCAGCTACTTGACTACAAGAATAGGGCTCAAAGAGAAGCAATGCCCACTATTGATACTACGACTGTAAGCCAAGATAAAGACAACACGGAAGGAAGTTAGTAAGTTGGATCAACTTAACAGATGTGGAAAGATCAAAGATAGATCCTGGCTGCTGCGGAAGTACAAGGATATGTCCATACTAGAGGCGCTGGGAACAGCTAAGCAAAGACTGACAGCACTGGCGGCCAGACTGAGCAGATACACCAGAGAAGCAGAGGCTAAGAGAATCAATACCATCTTTACCAAAGAACCATCCAAGGTGTATGCACAGCTACAGAGTAACCACCACATCCCCTCGCAAGACCCACCCAGAGCTGAGACTGCACAGTACTGGAAGAATATCTGGGAGCAAGAAGCATCTCATAACACCGAGGCCCAGTGGCTACTAGACTTGAAAGCAGACCACTGCATAAACAGGAACCAGTCACTATCACAGTCGAAGATTTCCAACAGAGAGCAGCACACATGAAGAGTTGATCAGCTCCAGGACCTGACATGATCCACAACTACTGGATAAAGCAGTTAACAGTGATGCATGGCTATCTAGCAGCACAAATAAGCCAGCTACTAGAAACAGGCTACCACCCTGACTGGCTAACACAAGGCAGAACAATACTGGTCATGAAGGACCCTCACAAGGGAACAGCACCATCCAATTACCAACCAACAGGGGCGGGCTGGGCCGGGGGGCAGGGAGGCAATTGCCCCCCAGGCCGCCCTAAAATCTGTTGGGACCGGCCGCTGCAGGGCCGGCCCTTTAAATGCTGCAGCCGCCTGAGCGCTCTGTTAAGAGCCTCAGGCGGCTGCGGCTGCTCCTCACTTGCCCTCCCCTGTAGCGTGGCCGAGCTGCTTGCTGGTCCGCGGTGCCGGCCGGACTGATAGGAAGGCGCACGCTGAGTGTGCACTTCCTGTCAGTCCGGCCGGTTACAGGAAACAGAAACTCCAGTTCCGCGCGGAGTTTCTGTTTCCTGTAACTGGCTGGACTGAAAGGAAGTGCACACTCAGTGTGCACCTTCCTATCAGTCCGGCCGGCACCGCGGACCAGCAAGCAGCTCGGCCACGCTACAGGGGAGGGCAAGGGAGAGGTGGGAGAAGTAAGTGAAGGGGGG